GGTTTTTTGTTTTTCCATATGAAGTTGAGTATTGTTCTTTCCAGGTCTGTGAAGAATTGTGTTGGTATTTTGATGGGGATTGCATTGAATCTGTAAATTGCTTTTGGTAAGATTGCCATTTTTACTATGTTAACCCTGCCTATCCATGAGCATGGGAGATCTTTCCATTTTCTGAGGGAAATAGTTTTTACCATCAAGTAAATTTTCATTTTCTACAAAGAATTTCCAACTACAGGTAGAATGTAACTTGGTAAGTGACACACCCAAATTCTCTTCTACTCTTTGAGTTTCCTGTCTCCCTTTCCCATAGTCCCATCCATAGTTGGACATACTGCTTTTCACCTCATCAGGGACTTCCTTCCTGTGCCTTGTTCCAGGCCTTGTACTTCACCCAAAATAATTTCTAATTGAGCAAGCAGCTGTGCTGGCACAGCACACATGGGGCATGGGGCCACAGAACCGTGACCCATCTCCACATCGGAATGTAAGTGGCCAGTTCCTTGTACCCAGGGCCAAGAAACTCCATAATTCATCAGAGTAAAAGAACAGGAGGACACTTCAAATAGAAATAATATGTCAAAAACATACTTTCTATGGAAAGTTGAAAACTATAGAAGAATGTCAATCAGAAATGAGGGAGGGCTTCAAACTTGTGGCAAAGAGTTTGTGGATACATTTTTATAAGAAGGTAGCAGAGTATGATTTTAGTGAATAAACTTCATGGCTGGATTTAATGTAACTCTGTCCATAGGCATAGGTAACTCAAAGGTACCTGAAACAAGAATAAAACCTAAAGGGCACCATCTAAAATACTTTCAGGTGCTCTGGTAAGGCACCATGACCAACACAACTTATAGAATAGAGTTTACTTGGGTCTTAGAGGTTAAAGGTGGGAAACATGACAGCAGGCAGGTAGGGATGGCTCTGGAGCAGTAGCTAAGAGTTCACATCTTGATCTGTAAGCATGAGGCAGAGATACCTAGCTAAGAATGTGTGAGTCTTTCAAAACCTCAAAGCCCACTCCCATTGATACACCTGATCCAATAAGGCCACACCCCCAATCCTTCCCAAACAATTCCAGCAACTGGAGACTAAGCTTTCAAACATAAGAGCCTATGAGAGACATCCTCATTCAAACCACCACAGGCACCATTATAATGAAAGCTGCATTACATTGTTAGCATGCAGTCTTCCCTGTACCCCTACTCTCTGCTAACATTCCATCTGATGCTGTCAATGGAGAGATAAAATTTTATTTTAACATTTGATACTTAAAGAAAATATAGTTTAGAATGTTCATAAAAATAGTAACCAATCCCGAAACTAGTTTGCACTCATTTTCCTGAGGTCACCAAAAACAGTTCAACTAACCCTAAAGATAAAACTGGTCAGCCCCTTTTCTGAGGCACAAAGGAAACACTTGAAATTTTAGGAAACCTATACTCTCTACAATTAACTAAATTTTCGTTTTATGATCCATCAATCTACAAATATTATTGCATACCTGCTAGTTCAGTCAATTTTGAATTTATTTTTCAGAAACACATAGAATACTAAATTTGTACTAAATTCCTACCACTTGGTAACTAGTAAATATAATACAGAAACTGAATAATGAAATATTCTTAGAAATGGCCATTTATATTTTGATTTGTTTTGTTTTTGATATAAGGTCTTACTCTTAGCCCAGTCAGCCTGGAACTTGCCATAGTCCAGGGAGGCCTTGAGCTCATGCCATTCTGTCTGCCTCAACTTCCTGAGTGATAGGACTACAGGAATAAGCCAACAAATTGGCTCAGTGAAAAATTTTGCATGTCACATTAATGTGTTTTTCTGAAGTAATTTATAATTTTAACTATGATTTTTCTTACATTATACAATTCTTTCAAAATTCAAATTTTTAGGTGGATAAACACTTCAAGTACAAGGAGGCAATCCATTTCTTTGATGGAACAAATAAGACCTCTTGAAAATGTCACAGTCATCTTTGATTATTTCTAAAATGTTAAGAGTACATTATTCCACAGTGTTTACAAAGTCCAGAGAAGCTGTACATGTATATTTCAATACTTAAATTCCAAAGAAAGATCTAATCATGAATGAAGAAGATGACATTTTTTTTCTTCTAGGGTTAAATTATCAACAGCAGAGTATAACTAAATATTTATGATAATAGGATTATGATAATTAGAACTTACTTTTTGGTGAGTAAGAGGGTATTTTGTGAAGTCTTTGAAGGTGATATGAGAAGATGGAATCTGACAAATAATATCATTCTTCTGCAATTGATAGCCTAATGACTAAAAATATCTGCCATAGACTAAAAACAAAAAAATCTTTGCAGTCCAAAACAATTGATTTGCAATTAAAATTATTAAATTAACTAAATTTCACTGTAATTAAAATGGACTAAAAGGAACAGTTAGTCATGAAAATGTAGATGAGCCTACATTCTCTCTCAATCAAGATCAGACCATCACTTGAGCAACTGTATGATAGTGAGTAAAATAAAAATTTAAAAAAACTAAAATTAAATAATCTTGCAATATTAATATTACAGAAATTTACTTCTGCTTTGGCATCTTTATTCCTTATAAAACACACATGGAATAATAAAAATGCTGATGAATAAACTTTTAAGAGATATCTCTGGTGAAATGTACCCACAATTGAGAAAAAACTGCAAGTCCTACCCATCTTACACTTAAAGCGATAGTTGAAGACATAAAGTGAGCAAACAAGCTCTCTGGTCCACAGGCAGATGAGCACATGACTACCTCTTCCCAGGAGTCAGCAGGCATAAATCCCTGATACTTGGGATCCCTTCCTGATTACTCACACAACAGACACCAGATGGGCCCCCTAATCTCAAACCCATACTCCTCATAATTTTATTGTGAAAATAATACCTCACAGTCTTGGAAAATAAAATACAAAAGAATTTCTGAGTTTATTTACTTTTCTACAGTAATTATTATAACAACTAAACTACATGTACTCACATTTCTTTTAAGTGAACAGTTATAAAATGAAGGCATGTTATGTAAAATAGAGATGCATTTTCCAACAAAGTTTTTCTCCTTTTGAAAAGTGTGTGCTATTTCAAATAATTCATTTAAAATTAAAAATTTCTACTCTATATGGATAAAGAACTCAAGAAAAAATATTCCATAATTTTGCAAATGTTAGAAACTGTCAAGATATCTGGGTCTTAGTAAAATCTTCACAGAATAAATATAAAGTTCCCTTATATTCTGAGGTTATTACATGAATCTGAGATGTGGCAGGTTGCTTCTATTTGTTATTATAACTGAAGTAATAAAATAAAAATAGTATGACAGCATCTAAATTTGAAGACTATTATAGAAGAAATTTTCAGGTGCCCCTTCTCCTGCTCAGCACACATCCTATCCACATTATCTTATGCCTTGTAAATCACACAATTTACCAAACACACAAAAAGCCTGAACTCTACAGAACTAAGTATGACTTGCTTTTCACATTTTGAGACAGCAATATGATCAGAGTGAATAGTAACTGTGAAACTTGTCATATTTATTTCTACAAATGGGGATTTTTCAGACCCCTCTCTATATTTCTGTTTTTTTTTTCAAGAAAAATAAATACCCTGGACTTTGGAAACTTTAGGTAGCTTAAGTATGCTGGATCTAGCAGACTTAAGTATGAGTGTAGACATTTAGCTGGTTCTAAATTGTGATTTTTTTTTTTTAGATCTACAATTTTAATCGAATAGTAAAATATTGTATCATGTGATTTAAGCTTAAGATTAGTGGTTATTGTTTCTTTATATAAGTCAATAAAGAGTTTTTTAAAGCAACCAGAAAATTCAAAAGTACAAACCTGAGCTTCGGAGAACACATCCTTCATACTGTTGATTGGGCCGTATGGGATCCCACTTCCTTCAAAGAGACAAAGCCACTTGGCGGTTACTTCTTCTGCAAACCTATGTGCAGACAAATAGTATATTTTACAATCTAAAGAAGGTGATATGAGCTCTTCTCCTAGGTGTCCATCTTTCAAAGTAACTAATAGTGACAAAAAATATGCTTCTTTGGCTTTCTTTACTCTGAGAGTTTAGGGGAAATTATCTATAGAATGTGACTCGAGTGGTCCTGCTGTCAGAGCAGACGCCCAGGCAGCTGGAATGCTTCCTCCCAATGCTAGCCTATGTATTCTCTGACAGAGCATACCAGGAAAGGAAACATTTGGGGGACATGCACTGAATTATAAATGCTTTTGAGTGATCTGAAGGTATAATCATCATTACTGCAATGTGAGCATGAAATCATGGCATAAAATGTTGTTTAGGTTTCAGGTACAGTAAACCAGGTTAGAGCACTAGAAATAAACTAATGCTTTAAAAGTAAGCTGCTGCTGAGGCAGAAAAGCATTGATAGCTATAGTCACTGGCTTTAACTACTTGCTAATCTGCACTGTGATGTAAAAAATGGCAAAGCAGACATGTAAAGACATCTGCAAATGTATTCAGTAACCAGATTCTACATACAAAGCATTATTTCTTATCATTAAGCATAATGACTATCCTTTTCTCTTGAATTAAAATGGATAGAGATTTTTTCCTCAGTGGGCATAGTCCCACACACCTGTAGTACCAGCACTTGGGAAGTGAGAACAGGAGGATCAGATCAAGGTTATGCTAGGCTACATAACAAGTCTGAGACCAGCCTGAGCTACATAAAATATACATTTTAATTTCAGCCCCATAATTTTTTAACTGTCTGTATGTAGTCTGAAACAATATAATTCACTTTGAAGTACTGAAAATCAATATTTTTCATGAAATTAAGGCTAAATATCTTACTTCTGGTTGGTTCTTCATATTTTCTTTTCAATAACTGCTACTATCATCTCCTGGCCAAGACTTTCACATAGATAGATGATAGATAGATAGATAGATAGATAGATAGATAGATAGATAGATAGATAGATAGATAGACAGGTAGACAGACAGACAGATAAATATACATCATCAGAATGGTACATGTTGAAAGAATCAAAAAGACACCTTGAACCTGGAACCTTTTCTATAGACTGTCAATTATTTACATTTTCCTAAGAGGTGTGTTATAATAGTTGGTCTGATAAATTTTCAAGACAAGTAGTTTATCAACAGTGGAACATGCAGATGGTCCAAACGATCTACATAGAAAATGTGTGTGTCAATTTCTTAAGGAGTCAGGCTAGCTAGAGGAACTTGGGAGAACACATGAATGTAATATTTGTACAAGCTTTTCATTAGTGGACAACAGAGGGGTTTACTTTATTTTGTGGGCCAAAGGGAATTCTACTTCATGTTATGGGAGGCAACCTATGCACTTTAGAAAGGCAACTGGGACACAGGCAGTATCTAAGGTCAAAGCTGCGGCCATTGTGTGAGTGTGAGTGGGGCTGGGTCCCTAAAGGCCACAAAAGTAATCCGTCAGCGATGGAACATGTTGCATTGCACCTGTCCCAGAAGACCAGACCATCATCTCCCAAAAAGCTATCTCTTGATCTAAGTGTGATGTAGAAACCTTTCCTTTATCTATAAATCAGAGGGGTGAGAGCACATGTTGTCATTAATCACAAAAACTCTAAAAAAATAAATAAATAAAAAAGAAAGGAAAATGCTGGTCTAAAACACCCAGAGCAAAAGAATCCTGAAAATAAGACAGAAGAAAAGTGAAAAGGCCGACTAGCAAGCCTCAGATATCAGTTCTGCTAGGGAGCAGCCTCATAAATACTGCAGACTTAATTGGGAATTAACATATCTCAAATATTTAATTATTAAATTGTGTCAAATCCACTTGATGCCAGGAATTAGTATTCTGAACCAGACAGCACCATTTATGTTATAGATAAGATATTTTTTTCAGTTCATCATTACTTGGAAGCAGTGATAAAACCTGATTTAGTCAGTAAGGCCCTTTCTTACTACCTCCGATTGTCTAAAGCCACCATCTACCAATCAACTCTTCTTTTCAGAGTCCTCACAAAGTATTTATGATTTTAACTACCCTACCTGTAAGCCCTGGGATACCATTGTCTTTAGTACCTCTTTGGTTATTTCTATTTCTTGCATTATTTTGCTAGTCCAAGTACTCCTTGTTGTCACTTACTCAGAGTTATTACTTAAATAAATGGTCTCCAAAGGTTCATGTGTTGAAACTTGGTTATCAGACAGTGGCATTTATTGGGGGCAGGGGACCACTAAATGGCTAAGCCTAGTGGGAAGAAGAATACCCCAGCCCAGTCCTGTCTCTTTCTGTTTACTAGCTGCCATGAACTGAACAGCTTTCTCCACCACAACCCAACCACAGCATACTGCCTTACTGCAGGTCTAAATGTGACAGGACCAATCAGCCATGCACTAAAATGTCTGAAATCATAAATCAAGAGGAAAAACAACTTCCAAGTATTTTAACATGGAAGCACAAAGTTGACTACCATGTTCATTTTCATGAATATGAATATCTTAATATCTCTGCAGGAAACATCACACCCTCATTTTGAGCCTTAACCTTTCTTGTATCCATCTTCACTAGAATTTCTGTTTCTCATCCATAAAGCATTCTGTCTTGCTAAATTGCACCCTTCTAGACTTGGTACTTCTTCCCTTTGCTTATTTATTACAGCATGTATAATTGTTCTGGGGAAGCACCCTTCCCAAATGAGTTCTTATTTGTGTATTACCACTATATTACAACCCTCGTCTTTGTTGCTACACACTGGACAGTGGTGACATTTGGTTTAAAACCTATTGCTTCAGGGCTGGAAAGATAGCTCCTGGGTTAAGAGTGTTTGTTGCTCTGGCAGTGGACTCACAATGAACAATTCAAGGCCTCCTATAACTCCAGCTCCAGGAGATCCCATACTCTCTTCCAGGATCCATAGGTACCTGCACTCATGTGCACAAACCCACATGCGTGCAAGCATGTGTGCTCACACACGAGCACACACACACACACACACACACACACACACACACACACACACAATTAAAAGTAAAATAAGACAAACAAAATCATATTGTCTCCACTATTACTATAGCCATTCAGTGGACTATCAACACATGAATGGACAAAGAATATGTGATATATATCTCATAAAAATATGTTTATGAGTTTTATTCCATCATAAAAATGAAATTATGTTATCTGCATGAAAATTGACACTAATGGCGGCCATTATACTAAGCAGAAAGAAAGAAAGAAAGAAAGAAAGAAAGAAAGAAAGAAAGAAAGAAAGAAAGAAAGAAAGAAAGAGAGGAAGAGAGAAAGAGAGAAAGAAAGAGCTAGATTGAGGAAGACAAATATTGCCTTTTTTCTCTTATATGTGAAGCTTTTGTACACATACACATATATGGACACACATAGACGTACACACAACATGACAGGCAAAGGGGAGCTAAGAAAAGGAATGTGTGTAGTGGGAAAACAGAAGAAAAGAGAGGGTATAGATCAAATTACATAGTACACAGGAATGAAAATATCTTAATAAAATCTATACTATTTATATTTCTGGTTGTTAGCCTACTATCAGAACTTACATGGTGATATGTTTAGGTAATACTGTGTTTAATCTAAAAGTACATGTGAATCTGAAGCAGTAAAATAGTTTTAGTTATAGCTTTATATAAATCTTTAAAGAAAAATCTATCACTATTTATAATGAACATACATTAATAAACTTTATTTTTAAAAAAATGTAAAACTCCCTCTTTTTCAGCCATGCTTGCCTGTTCTGTGTTCCAAGCACACGTGAAATAACCTAAGGGCGCCGCAGACATGCATTCTGTGGACTTCTCTGAGTAGCATGGCTATATTAAGAGCATCATAAAGGACATCATTCATGACCCTGGTCACGGTGCTCCCCTATTGAAAGTGGTCTTTCATAATCCCTACCTATTTAAGAAGCAGACAGAATTGTTCATCGATACAGAGAGAATCCACACTGGACAGTTGTGTACTGTAGCAAGAAGGCCAAGCTGAATATTGCAATGTTTTGCCTGTGAGGACCATGCCTGAAGGTAGGTACTACTATCATGTGTTGTCTGGAGGAGAAGCCTGGGGACAAGGGCAAGCTGGCATGACCCTCCCTAAATTATGCCACAGTCATCTCTCACAACCTGGAGACCAAGGAGACAGGAGTAAAGCTGCCTTTGGCATCCAAGAAGGTCATTTCCTTGGCCAGCAGAGCTGTTCTGGGTATAGTGGTTGATGGGGGCAGAAATGACAACCCACCTTAAAGGCTGGCCGGGCCTACCACAAGTACAAGGCAAAGAGGAACTGCGGGCCACCTCAGTGGCAAATCCTCCACTACACAAAGAGATGCCCCTGCTGTGCACAAAGTGAGTCCCATTGCTGCCCATCAGACTGGGAGACTACATGGAACCAGAACTGTACAGGAGAAGAAGAAATAGAACTCAGACACTAATAAAGTATGTCCTTTGGCTGAATGAAAGAAAGGAAAGGGAAGAAGGAAAGAAGCAGGACCTTACTATCTTCAATTTTCCTCCATCTAATACATCAGTGAAATTAAATCAAATCTGTTTAACTATCCCCTTCTCTAGGCCCACAAACTGCTTTCCCAGGAAAGGCACACATTGCTGATTGGCTGTCATATCCTCAGAACTAAGACTGTGGTTAGCTAGCAAACCCAGGATCTTTGTATTCTAAGCAAGGACGGAAAGACAGAACAGAAGGGAGTAAAGAAACTAAGAAAGAAGAAAAAGTAACCTTTGAACATACATAAATATTCTACAGCAAAGCAGAAATTCTATCCTAGATCCAAAACTATGCGTTAGCTGTCATTCTGCTTGGCCCCAGCAGCACAGCTCAGTGAGCGGCACGCAGCTGAGCACCAGTCTCAGAAACTTGATGAGACAGCTGCAGCCCAGCATCTCAGTGCTGCATTCCTGTTTGTGCACCAGGCACCAGAAAG